GGGTATGGATTAAGCAATCTAATGGAGCAATTAAAAAAGAAGAAGAAGAAATTAACCCCATTAATCCCAAACTATGTTTATTAATTATTCCCAAACTGTTTTACTGTTTAATTAAATGTAACACCAAGTTCATCATCCAAACCCCATTAATTTAATTTCCCAATTTTCTCAAATTAGTTGCCAGAGTGGACTGTGGATGATTTCTTTATTTAAGATAATAGAATTTGGTTTTAATAATTTACAGTGCATTTGTATTGTCATGATGGGGTTTCAGAAATTGATTCAATTTTTTCATAGCTATCACATTGAAATCATTTCACTCAAAAATATATGAGAAACATATCAGAAACGGAGGCTATGAGAAAGACATTCCAATTTGATATATCGTAGTTAAAAAAAGAGGAGGTTTAGAGGACCAAGATGGGACTAAGCTGAAAAGCATAATTCGGTTAGTTATTCTCATATGGTTGAACAAAAAAAGAAAGTATTACATTATTAGATGATTTGGAAAATGGGTGAGTTAGTTGTAATCTTTTTGGGGAAAAAAATGTTATATAAAAACTTAATAACAAGCACATCAAGTTAATTATAGAATTTCATCTGTTCTTTTGGAGGAATAATCTTGAATATGAATTAAGTAATTAAAGGTACAAATTATGTTATCAAATCTTGATTATTATGAATAGTTTTAAAATTTTAAAAATTTCACAATTGAACCGCGGGAGTGAGGGGCCAACAAATTAAATTAAGACAGAAAAAGCAAAATCATTAAATTTCATGTTTTTGCTATGCTAATCGAACACATTTATAAAGTTGGGAAATGGATTGACAACAAGCTTCCATGGTTGAAAGATTAAGAAATTGGATGCGTCGTAGAGAATAATATTGCTGACTTAAAATGGAGCCAATGTCGGTTGAAACTCAAAATTCTTCGCATGTTTCAATTGCCAACTGCATTGTCATTTTAAAGACATGTTTGGGAGTGATTTTGGCATGGTTAGAATTATTTTTATACTCCAATCAAAATCCCTTCAATTTTAAAAAATAGAATGTTACTCATCAATCCCTCAAATGGTGATTCTCCAAATTAATTTTTACCAAAAGATTAATATAAAATTAGTTTTTAAAATCGTTATGTTTTTTTTTTTTATTTTCAAAATTTTCTTTCTATTCTTCTTATTTTTACTTTAAATTTTGAGAAATTTTTTTCTCTCTTTTCTAAAAATTTTTCACTCTCTAACTTTATTTATCTTTAGTTTTTTTAATTCTTCCTAATTTTTTTCTCTAAAATTTTTTAATCTCTGTTCGCATTTCTTTTTCTAAAGTTTTTGTCTCTTCACTTTCTAAGATTTTTCTCTCTAAAAATTTTGTCAAATTTGTATCTTTAAAATTTAAATATTAATCATTCAAAATCATTTTTAATTATATAAAAATCACTTGGAAAAGTGTATAACCAAACATTAAAATAATTATATAAAAATCACTTTCATAAAATCATCATTAAATCCCTTGTGCTAAAGTCACTCGTTCTAAAATCGTTCTTAAACATGCTAAGTAATTATGCGTGGATTTTATTGTGATAGTATGACAAATTAAGCAATATATAAAACTATCCATTTTTAAATGGTAATGTATCTCTCCATATGTCTCTATGATTATATTATATGATTTTTTAGATTAAAATACTATTTTGGTCTTTATTATTTTTAAAGTGATACCAAGTCCATTTTAGTTAAGAGGTATGTTGTTTTAACGTTTGGTGCTTCTCATATTTGGAGAGAATGTAATTCTGGATACGTGAGTTGCTTCTCGTCCCACCACGGTTATTTATATAGTGATGTTTATGCTTGTGCTATAACTTGGTAGGATAGCGTTTGTTTTAGCTCCTAACCATTAATGGGGGTTACTTGAGATTTATTTTTATAAATAAGTTGTTATGTTTGTCTTGTTTATGAGGTATGAGGTGTTTCTTTTGTTCCTTGATCTCAGACCGTGATATCCTCAACTTGTTGGAAAAGAAGGAAAAAAAAACTCAACCATTTGTTGGAAATTCGATATGGAAAAAACATAAAAAGAGAGGAAAATGAAAAGGGAATACATCCACAAGCAATTAAAACTGGGTTGGACTTCATTGAAGAGGACAAACAAAAGTATTTGTCCAAACAAAAGAATTACAAATTAAGAGATATATCTTCTTCTTCGCATCTTTTGTAAAAAGAGAGAATGGGAACGTAAAGCCTGTGGCCAATTTTTGGTGGGGCCCACTACATTCTAACAAATATAATGTCTCCTGCAATCAATACTAATTTACTGTCCACATCTAATCTTTTAATTCCTCTTCTCCATATTTCTTCATCTTAGATTTCTTTTTCTTACAAAATCTTCCCAAATGCATAATAATTAACATGGTTTTTCTGCCATCAAATTGATAAATTCTACCATTTTCTTTATCAAAGAAATATCTAAAATTCAATTATCACGTGATGCAAACGCATAGGAAATTTAAAAAAATGGAAAAGTAAAAGTGCACACAGCTTATCTCGTTGGAAAGTTGGTTCGCAAAACAAATCTTCCATTTTTAGGGTTTTGGTTTTCTACGCTATAACCTTATGAGAACGAGAACGTGAGAATTACATATAGAGTGGGGACCAATATAGCTCCTTTAAATAGCTTACCACCAACTAAACATTAAAGTTGTCTACATATATATCATCAAATAATATATTTGAATATATATTTTTAGAAAATTGCATAATAAATAAGCAGGAGTTTTTCTCTCTTTTTTCTTTTCCCTTTTTATTGAATACAAAACAAATGTGGGGTGGGGATTTCATCATCAACTTTCAAGAAATAATTAGTTACTTTAACTGCTAAGCACCCATCTTCAAATAAGAAGGGTATATTTAAACGTGCGAAAAGACATTAACCTAATTAACCAATTGAGTATGCCCATAACATAGCTCAATTGGTTAAAACAATAGACATTAATATTTAATAATGGATACCTATTTGAAGAGATTTTCTTTTTAGTTCAATATATAATTACGGCCCGTGGGATGTGGATAAGGTAATCAAACCAATCAATTTTTTAGATGATAATAGATATCGTATCCACTTAATTATATTCGGATTGGGCTATAAACAAACTTTAGATCGTCAATCCTTGTTAGCACAAACACAATTAATATTTACATGGGTGACCTCACACGTGATGTTGTTACAACAATTGTATTAGTTAAGTTGTGGAACATGAAAAGGTTAGATTAGGGTTTTGCATAGTTAAATTAATCATTAATGTTGGATTTTCTTCCCATATGGGAAAATCCATGTTATGTGCTGTGCATTCATGTGCTCCATGTCTATTCTTGGATAAGAATTTTTAGGACATTAATTAGCCAGCGAACCATCTCTAGCCTCTTCCCTATTTCTCTGTTTAAAGCCACGTTCATATCCAATTTCACTTTCTAAACCCTTTGCAACAATGTAGATCTCATATATAGTCTCTTTAAACGTATATTTAGAAGTGATTTTGGCATAACAATTTTTTTTTTCGGTTTCTAAAATCACTAGTTACATCACTATTTTAAATGGAATTTATTTTGACAACGTCAAAATCACTTTTGAACACACCGTAATATTTTACGGTGATATATAAATAATTTTAAAAAGGAACAATGTTCTTTGAAGGATGGTGCAATGTCAAGTACTTGACACTTTGTAATACAATACGACACAACATCTATGATGAGAAATAAAAAAATAAAAAAGAAAAAAGAAAAAAACGATCACACTCTCGCAAATAAGGGATTAGGCCATTGTACTTTAAAAAATATTCTTAGCAAGTTCTTCCCATAAATTCCGCTGATATATTTTTTTAATGCATCCCATGATATATTTTCTCATGTTTGTGAATAATAATAATAATAATAATAATTGTTACATCTCGTTGAAATCAACTTGACCTAACAAGAACACCTGTCAAACATGCTTAGAGACTTTTCTAAGAGTGTTTTTTCTAGGGGAAAAACGGTTTAATAATAAACAATTTTGTGTGATTTTGGTTTAAATATTGTTGATACATGATTCTATTGAGCTACTAAGTCGGTTAGTACGAGTTGACGAGGTGCAACCTTAAGTAAAATAGGACTTGCAAAAAGAAACAAATACTCTAATGCTCAAATCAGTAGGACACGAGTTTAAATAGGTCGTTCTCGAAGCAGAATTATTATTGCATACCTCAATAGAGTGGCAGAGTGTCCCTTTTATATATAATGGGGGAGGGACAAGACCGTTAGAGCCACTCCAACCAGCGGTTACGAACTTTGAGGCCCAAAGTCAATTATCAGGATTGAGGTTGAAGTCTTTAGGTCGGTCGAAGAGAATTTGCTGGTTTAATCTCTGATTGGCTTTATAGTCTTCAACTCGAGCTCAAGAGTAGGTCGGTCTTCTCCATTGAATTAGTTGGACAACTCTTACAATAATGAGCTGAGTTAGATCCAGGTATCATGTTGGTATTTTTTCCTTAAAGCAAATATTATTCCAAATATATTTTTGATTTAATTAAAAGTTCATTTTGAGTAATTAGAGCTGAAAAGGGATCGTTAGTGAGAGAAAGTGGAGGTAAAAGTAGCCTGTTAATGAGCAAAAGATTGTCAAAAATTAAAGAAAAAGTGTTAAGTCAACGTATTTGGATTAATCAATAAATTATTTCTTTGAGAAGTAATTCAAGTGTTTTCTCAATTTTTTTTTTCAAAAGTATTCGAACAAAAATACCTATGTATGAAATGCTTTTGAAATCACTTAAGTACTTGTAAGGACTAAAAAATATGTTTTAACCTGTAA